TTTCCAGAATTAAAGTTGTAGGAGAACACCCCATCTATCTCTTCTCAAATTATTTTATTTACCAATACTGCTCCTCCTGTCTTTAAACTGTGAGCTCCCAGATCTTCTGGGCTCATCCTTACAACCATATATACGTAGGGCTGAAAGGTCTCTCAGAGACCATGTGGGTGAGAGGCAGGACCCCGTGGCATCACCAGTCAATGGGAAGTGGGGGCTGGAGAACTGTGTTGAGAAGAGTTCTGAAACCGGGTCTGTGTTCAGTGGGAAGCGTGCTGGGACCCGTTAATGCTGGGGTTGGTTGATGCTGGTCTGCCCCAGGCCTGGAGGTTGGGGTGGGGTGGGGGAGTTGTGATGGGAGTTATCTTAATGGTACCATCCGTGCTAAGAGCCTAAGCCTCTCATTTAATTTGGGTGTGTGTTGGGGGGTAGGGCTGAGAGACATTAAACCAGTTGCTGAAGTCACACAGCTATTTAGTATTTCACAATATATGTTAAAAAAAAAAAAGGGTTCAGGATCAGGAAAAGAATGAAGATTAAGAGGATTAGCCATCCTGAAAATGGAAAACTATCTACCTTCAAGACACTTAGGACTGAATATGAACCTTCTTGAAACCTTTTGTTAGATAGTGTATCAAAATTGCTAGGACCTCTATCTAACTTGTCACCCGCAAAGCCAAACATGCACAGAAGCCTGGAGCCCTCCTTGCCAATTTCAGAGGTCTATAATGTTAGAGCCTATTTCCTCCAGGAGAAAATTTTTCTTAGTGTTTGGATGAAGGGATAAAGAAGTATGAAGAAAGTTTAAAGTGTTATTTGCCTAGGATTAATGGATAGTTGAATTTAAATGCCAGCTCACTTTTTAAAAAGTTATTTCTACAGAATATTGGGAGGGAAAAGTCCACGATGGGCTTTGGGCATAGTTTTAGCTAATCAGGGTTGCAGGTAGTAGTCTCAATGCTAGAAAAAATAGCAAATCATAACAAATCCAACTAAGACTTAAATTCATCAGAGCCAAGGTGTGGTGACAAGGGAATTCTGGCCCCTAAACCTCTCCTCAACTCGCCTGAGAATTCTCTATTAAGCATCCAGAAGTTATTATTTGAAAACACTAATATTCTTGGGTGATAATTCATTTCAAGTTCATTGTTAGCTAATACCAAAGGAAGAAAGGAAAGCTAGTGGTGAGGTGAAGGGATATGTTACCTGCTGTGGAGGGAAACAAGGGAGTGAAAGATATAATGGTTCTCAGTGAGTAGCTACACGAATTTTGTGGCCCAAAGATGGATTTCACCGTCTGAAGCCTCCTCAGGACTCTGGAATATTCAACCGACCTCAAGACACAACTAACCTTGAGTAGGTGACGTAAATAAACCCTCAAGATGCCTTTTAAAAATAGAAAAGAGAAAAACAATGTAAGAAAGTACAGGAGTACTTTCTCTCCGACATTTCTGACAGAAGATAGGAGTTGAAAACCTCAAACAAAATGTGGCCCCAATCTCACTTGGCTAATTTTAGTTATCTTAGTTCAGGGCTATGATTCATTCCTAAAGCTGTGAATTGCTGAGGAGGAAGGAGGAAAAAAAACTGACTTAAATGTCAAAGAAGTAAGAGCAAAAATATAGTTTTCTTTTTTGGGGAACTAGAATTCCAGGATATGGGGATCTTTATTTTTTTCTCATGAGGGACTGAATGCTTCAAACTTCTAGAGAAATAATGGTCTTGAGTCAAAACATCATTAAGGAATAAAAGACAGCAGTGATTATAAGTCACGTCATGTTTGAATTTTTTGCCTCCATAGTATATTTCCCTTGTCTTCTTGTGTGCCTCTTTAAATACCATTAAACTAGAACTCACCAGGACTCATCTGTAGTTGAGTATGATGGAAGCGTAATACGTAGACTGTAGTGAGGAATGGAATCCCTAAACCAGGTCAAGGAGGAATGAATGGAGACAAACAGATCTATGGGAAATAAGCCTGGGGAATGCGATGGTGGGAAAGAGAATAAGGGCATATTTGAATGATGGTCAGATGCTGTCTTGCTTGCTAAAGAATAGAGATGGGTTGGTGAAATTCCTTCTTGAGTAAATAAAGAAGTTTCTCAATTTATTAGGGGTCCCCCAATAAAGTGGTTGCCATTTTGAATTTCTGTAGGTTTGGAGGAAGAAAATAGTCACTAACTCAACTCAGCTCCGTGACTGTTTTCAGTGTCTGAAATAGCTGACCTTCTCCACCAATAGCTTAGCCACTATCCGTGTTTGTCTTTTTCTTAAAACTCTTAAAAACTGCTGCTCTTAAAGCCTCGAAGCAGTCAAAGAAATATATGATGGTTGTAAAAATAGGGCCCGGGGCTTGAAAGGAAGATGATACTATGTAGGAAGCAAAATGAAAAAGAAAGAGTTCTAATGACTTCAGGGCAGATCCCCCACAGCCCTGAAGCTGTGAGGAGACTAGCCCAAGGCATAATTGTGAGAGGTGATTTCTGCACCTACCCCTGTCCTCAGCCTCCTTAGAGCACTCCCCTCAGCTTTCTTGTGCTTCGCTCCTTTCTGTTCTCCTCATACCTGGGTATCACTGTGAGTAGTGGCAATCACTGTGTCTCATTACCCGAGACCTAACGTGTCATTCAGCCCATGTGACAAATGCATGCTGATAGATCAACTAACAGGATATGAAAGTGGAAGAAGGGACTCTGGAGGTTACGGAATCCCACTGCTTGTTGAGGAAACTGAGTTCTTGAAGGTCTAAGTGACTTTCTTGCCCAAAGCATTTCCTCTTTTGTGTCCTCTGGAGGATGTTAATTAACACCATGGCTGTGTCTGCTTACTATTGTCTCTAGTGGAGAGAGATTTTAAAGTCCATAGAAGATATTTGCCAGAATTTATCCTTGGCCACCCTCATTTTATTTTATTTTATTTTTTTAAAGATTTTATTTATTTATTTGAGGGAGAGAGAGAGAGAGCACATGAGAGGGGGAAGGGTCAGAGGGAGAAGCAGACTCCCTGCTGAGCAGGGAGCCTGATGCGGGACTCGATCCTGAGACTCCAGGATCATGACCTGAGCCGAAAGCAGTCGCTTAACCAACTGAGCCACCCAGGCGCCCCTGGCCACCCTCATTTTAAACCACCTTGGCAGACTGCCTTTATTACAAATCCAGTTGTTTTTTTTATTTTTATTTTTTTCAGAATGGATATATATTTAATTTTCTGAGCCTCTGTGAAGTGTGTCAAAGTACAACAAAAACCTATTTCTATTTTTCATATCCTTGATCCACTCTGACCTTGTGTAGCACTGTTATGGGTTGACTTACATTCCCCACATAGATAGATCAAAGTCCTAACTCCCAGTACCTGTGAACATGACCTTACTTGGAAAAAGGCGGTTTGCTGATTTCATCAAGTTAAGATGAGGTCATTAAGGGGGGGGGGGTTCTAATCCAATATGAGTGGTGTCATAAGACAGCTGTGGGAAGACCCAGAAGGGAGAATGCCATGTGATGACAAAGGCAGAGACTGAAGTGTGGCCGCTGGAAGCCAAAGAACGCCAAGGATTGCCAGCCACAACCGGAAGCTGGGAAGAGGCAGGAAGGATTGTCCTCAACAAGTTTCTCAAGGAGCGTGGCCCAGCTCATACCTGGATGTCGGACTTCTAGCTTCCAGAACTGTGACATTACAGGAGTGTGTTGTTTCAAGCTACTCAGTTTGTGGGACTTTGGTATGCAGCCCTAGAAAACGAATACCTGCAGTGATGAAGGCAAAGAGGAAGGGCAACTGGAAGCCAAAGGAAAGAAAGAAGAGTGCCTTTGTTGGGTTGGTTTACTAATGCCATTGGTATTAATTTTTTATTGAAATGATCTGGAGAGGGCCCACATGATTCCTTGAAAAAAAGTTTGTGAGGGGACTCCCTCTGTCCACTTATTTAAGATATAGTGCATTTGCTATTTAAATGTTTCCATCGTAAAATAATCCACTGTTTTTCAGTGTTCTCTGTTAATAATCTAGTTTGTTTTCCTTAGCCTGACAGCTTTGGCCTTTTTCTATTTTATTTTGTCTTTTAATGTTTTATTTTGTGGCATAATATGAATACATGAATAGTAGTATGTATTTCCTCAAAATATGGGAAAAGGCACTTAAAAATACGAATTACCCATATTTTTCAAATGATGATTCAAGCCCTGATATATATTCCAAGGTTCTGATTTACTCTCCATAAATAATATTAAAAATTTAATCAGGTCTTGTTTAAAATAATTTCAGTAGTTTCTTTTGTAGTGCTGTTCTCTACTTACAAATAGCACAAATGGAGGTAAGGACTACGTATAATCATATTTTTCAAAACCCAAAATCGTTTTTTTTAAAGATTTTATTTTTAAGTAATCTCCACACCCAATGTGAGGCTCAAATTTATAACCTTAAGATTAAGAGTCACATGCTCCACTGACTGAGCCAGTCAGGAGCACCCCAAAACCATTTTTAAGGTCTTATAAATTATATGTATTTAGGGTCCAAATTAAAAACCTTTATCAAGAACCTTCACATATGACCCAATTTTTAAGCCTAACCACTTTCTATAAGCCTCTCCAAGATCATCTGCTCTATTATATTACTCAATTATCCGAAAAATTCAAGGGTCTTATAAGGAAGAGTTGACCTGCAGATTTAGTGGTTAAGAAAACATCCAAGAGTTGAGAGACATAGACTTTCTCATTGACCAGGGGCCTTAATTCATTTCAGAAGCCATTCTGGATTGTTTCAAACTCTTCTTCTTGGGTTTTGGGGTTTAGTTTATTATTTCTGCAGAACACACCTGGATGCCCATGTCTTTGAAGGCACTGGATACACAAGTCAGACACCAGGTCAAAATCAGTAGGCCATTCAGTGCATTGCACTGCTGCATCTGTAGGGTGGACTCTGCCTTGGTTACTCTAGGAGTCACACCATCTGCTTCTAGGTGCTAAAACAAGGAGCTGGACTACCAGACGTAGAGCATTGGAAACACTTACTTGAGTGTGGTGAGTTCTGTAAGGGATGGCTGAGTAGCCTTGAGATAGCTTTCTCTTCGTGCAGCCACTTTGGGAGAAGGCTTGGGACTCGTGTCGGAGTCACCACTGTCTTCATCTCCCATGGCCTTGATGTAGCTGCCACTCCGCATTCTCCGGCATGGAATTTCGTCGTCTTTACCTCGAGGGGTGTACCCTGTCCAGTCATCCTGAGGAACCTATTCACAGAAAAAACAGATAATTCATTTTTAATAAAATCCTACACTTTGCTTTCCTCTTTTTTTTCCCCTTTTTTTGGTATGACCCTGAATGTGGGTAATAGAGATAAATTATCTAAAACTTCAGACGTTCATTTCTCAATAATGGTGTTTTACTGTAATAATTGGTTTGAAAACATTTCAATCCATGCAAATCCACATCCTAATCTTTAAAACATCCTGTGTCTTAGGAAAAATTAAAACCATTGGCTTTGATTTACTTCTCATTTTTCTCATGCTAATAAGAATAAGAATTCCAAGAAATAATTCCAATAAGAATGCCATTGGAAAGGAGAACAGTTTTATTTGAACTTTTCAATTATTTGTTTTCAACTGTCATTTAAAACTTAAGAATCTTTCAGTTTTATCTCCACCTTCCTCACACCTCCCAACTCTACTGTCTTGTATTGAATCTCTCTTCTTCCTAAACCAGCTACATTGACTTCCCAATAACCTATTCTTTCTGAACCCCTCTTAATTTGAATTCAGCCTCCATAGATCTGCTTAAAGCAGTCTTTAAAGGTTTCCAATGATCTCATGAAAGCTAGTGGCCTTTTCTTAATTTACATTTTCCTTGGCCTCTGAATACACACACACACACACACACACACACACACACACACCCAACCCCTGAAGAGTTTCTTTACTTACCTGGTAGAGCTACTTATCTGAATTGTTCTTTTCCTCTTGCTTTGCTGGATCCTATTCTAAGTCCCCACTTGGAGGTACCACATAAGATAATGTTCTTAGTACACTGCTCCTTTTTTTTTTCTACAGTCATTTCCTTTGAATCCAGCAGAGCACTACACTATGCTCTAGAGGGCTTCTTTATGACTTTCTCTTCAGTTCCACTTAGATTTTCCACTTCAACATGGACTCAACCTAGGATCTCATTACTCCTCCATTTAGTAAAAGAAATGCATAATGACCACTCTTTTTATCCATTAAGAAGCAACAAACAGTCCATGGTGCATAGAGCACTGCATAGGGCTTAATGAAAAGAAACCAGAAAACAAAGGAGGCTGGTTTTTGCCCTTAACATGCTTTAACAGCAATGAGAAGACAGAGCATAAACACATTTGGGAATAGTTCCAGATCAACCCATCAGCAAGTTTAAGATAGGGTGCCATAAATGGAACATGCACCAAAGAGAGACTAGAAGTAGGAGCTATCAGTAATGGTGTTGGGGAAGGAGTAGCCATGAGGGGCTCCTGGGAACTGGCCAAGTTTCATTGAGAAGGTAAACAGGGTATTTAATATTTTGATGCTAACCACTTATTGATTATCCATCAAATAAGACACTCTTTCTTATTAACATTTAACTATGCAAGGGATTTGCTTACAGTATCTTTTTTTATCAACGTAACAACTCTGCATAATTTTTCTTTGTATTTCTCAGATGAGAAACAAGAACTCAGAGAACTTAAGGAATGTGCCAAAGAACACACAACTAATAAAAGAACACATAACGGCACTGGCATTCAAAGCATTTTGGTTTGACTCCAAAGATTAGAATTTATTTAACCTAAATTTTATGATTAATAATATATGAATTTTAACTCTGAAGGGTTCATAAAGTTGTCCACAATGACACCTACACATATTAGACACAGATTTCTAAATGTTATAGGTTCTAGGAAGTAAGAATAGATGTCCCACTAAAACACGAGAGAGGGGTGCCTGGGTGGCTCAGCATCGGTTAAGCATCCGATTCTTGATTTTGGCTCAGGTCGTGATCTCAGGGTTGTGAGATCAAGCCCCATGTGGGGATACATAAGTCTCAGCTACGAAGGGGCAGAGTTCCAACCTGGCAGCTCCTGGGGCCTTACTCCTCACCCCTATGTGATGCTGTCTCTCTTTCTGGGCTATGATCTTTGACACCTATGGAACCAAACAACTGTAGTCCCCGTCACCTTTGTAATCCATTGCATCTCATCCATTTGCTATTTGTTGATCATGGTAATAGCAATGTAGAGTTTTTACTTTTTTAGCTAAAAAGCATCAAAATCACTATAGCAACAAGGAAGATTTCTTAGTGAAATTATAGATGTTTAGAACAGTCTTGTTTTCCTTCAGCTGGAAGGTGACTCACTGCAAAAATATGATCATGTTCAGAACCTCGTTATTGGCTTAGCAATTATATTTTATAAATTACGTTGGTACACCTGAGGGTCATAGATGATGCATACAGCACTTGGCCATTTCGCGGTACGGATGCACAGTTCATAAATAAGCATTAGTCTCTGGAATATGTCAGGGACTAATGACAAACTTATATCAGGTCATGTCAATCATGAAACAGAACATGGCAAATTTCTGTTTAGATGTTTTTCCCAAAGTTAGTTTATGGTAGACCCTTGAGCTTGCACTAGAAACGGGTTGCAACTGTTGCTAAGGGAACCAACTGGAAAGTATTTAATCTGTATACCTCTCAATGAAACAGTTTTCAAATGATAGCAGCTAAGAAGCTGTATGGAATGGGATTTAAAAATTAATTTAAAAATTAAAATAATTAAAAATTATTCATACACCTAAAGGTAGCCTACAACAAGATTACCTATAAAATAATACCGAAATCAGTTCTAGGAAAAAATGTAAAACAGAAAATCAAGATCTTGGAGAAGAAAAATAATGTTGCTGAAGTTGCTACAACTGAGCCAGAATTTTAATTCTGACTCTTAAACTCTAAAGCAAAAGGGGAGACAGTGACCAGGTGTATAATTTTCAAAGAAGGCATACCAATTTGTAAGGGGCCCGAGTGTGAAATGTTACTCCCTTTTGAATGGGAAGAGAGGAGAATCATGGGGCACAGCTACCACTGGGATCTAGCCAAAAGTTGATGTGTCTTTCTGCCTCAGTTGCACAGAAAGAAAAAATTTAGGGAAATCCAAAGAAACGACCTTACAGCTGTCTGAGAAACGCTTCAGTATTACTGGTCCTGGCAGTTTAAGGGAATAGAAGTCTTAGTAAGGAAGGGAAGCTGGAGCAAATAGACACTTGTTAATGACAGACCAGCCAGATGTCCTGCATGTCTGTACCAACCTTGGAGGTGGTTGGACCCAACAAATGTTAAAGAAACAATAATAAAATCAATATAATAAAGGTTTAGATGTAACAATAGTTATGAGCTAGAGAAAAAGGATTATTCCCTTTTAATGCATATGTTTAAGCATGAAACTCCAATAGAGAGCCTTATTTTTGATCAAACAAAATGAGGACTTGTGTGCATTTTTCTATTTCGGGAAGAGCCAGTCTATAACTTAGACCACTTGTCACAGTTCAGAAATACAGAAAACTTGCTTCTGACCAAAGAATGACCATAACCAAGTGCTATCATCCTCTAATTCCAGGACGAGGATGTTTTCTTAATTGAAATAGTGTATGGGCACTGAATGATGGGTCATTCTAATCATAGCCATAGTCTATTCAATTACAGAACGGGAGAAAATGAAACATGACCTAGTGGGGCATGCTTGCATTTTTCTCAGTCTCCTTGCCCTTCTCTCTCTTTGCCTCTCTCCCTCTTCCGTCACATCAGTAAGTATTTTTTGCTTGTTTCTTTTCCAGTCATGGTCTGGGTGCTGGGAATATATAGCAGTGAACAGTTACAAACACTGATCTCATGCTGTGGAGCATACATTCTAGAAGCAGTGCAGGAAGAGATAGATAATAGTCAAGCACACACATAAGTGAACAAGATAATTTCAGGAATCATAAATGCCATTAGGAAAATAAGATGGGTTAATGTAATAATGTGGCTGGAGGGGGACTACTTTAGCCTGTTCCTTAGAGAAGCCCCTAGGAAAGCGGTAATATTCCAGAGGAGATCTGTTGCCCAAAGGAGCCAGCCTGGAGGAGAGCTAGGAAGAGCTCCCAGGCAAAAGGATCAGCCAGTGCGGAGTTTCTAGAATAAGAATGAGATTGGTGTGTAATTAAAGCCTGGGAATGAAAATGCCTGTGTGACCGGAGAGTACCCAGCAAGAGGAAAGGGATACAAGGAGAGGCCAGGGGTGCGGAGCCAGGTCATGTAGGGTCTTGTAAATCTGTCTCAAATCTTCCTTCCGGACTGAACTCAGCAATTCTAAAGCTCCCTCCAACTGCTCCAGATTAAATTGATCTTTTTAATGAAATCTATAGCATGTATCTCTACATAAGGGGTCAGTAAACTATAGCTCACAGACTAAATCCAGCTTGCCATCTGTATTTGTAAATAAAGTTTTATTGGCACACAGCCCTGCCCATTCATTATGCACTGGCTGTGACTGATGTCACGTTACAAGGGCTGAGTTATATGGTCGTGTTGGAGACTCTATGGCCCCAAAACTAATCCACATCGTCCTTTTGTGTACTTAAATGTGCATAATCACACAATGGCATTTATATGCACTACTTGTTTTATGTGTCTTTGTGTCATCTCTCTAATTACTGGATAAGCTCACTGAAATGGGGGAAGCAGTGTTGCTGGGGGTCAGGGGTGTGAGCTCTGCATCTAGACTATCCAGATATGAGTTCCTGCTGTGTCAGTAACTAGGCATATGCCTCAATTTTCTTGTCTGTTTCCTACCCCATAGAGAGTTAGGCATGGATTAAATAAGGTATGCCCACAAGTGCATAGGGAATGCTCAGTAAAGCTCTTTTAGGGGAGCTCTGCCCTATTGTTAGCACTCAGGTGCTCCCTCATGATGGATGACATTGGTTTTCCAAGAAGACTCTGATGCCTGCTTCCAATCTTCTTCCTCAAAGGAGGAGAGGACATAACTGAAATAGATTAAGCAAAAACATAAAGTCCTAATATACTGTCTACTCCCATAATTTTTAAGTGAGAGTTCCCATCAGCAAGTACTCCCAGGTCTCTGTCCTGGGGTCTCATTGCTGTTCTGCAGGACCAAGAGAGGAGCCACCAGAATCTTGCCTGGCTTCCCAGTGATTGAATCCCAAATGCCTCTTTTTGGTTCACAAAG